AGTAATATGAAATCAATACTATTTTGTAGTGTAACTGTAGGATAATTGAATTTGCCATATGATGCCAATGAGCAGCAGAAACTGATAGTTCACCTAAAATGGCTATATATTGCCACATTCATTTCCATAGCTAGAATATTACTGAGTGTGGCGTTAACTACAAACAAGCATATGTATTTGCAAAGCAATATTTCCATATATATATATAGAGAGAATCTCACCCGAGTGTCTTTTGATATCAAATCTCTCAATGAGTGTTATCACCTGTGATATCTCCTGTGGGAGCCAGTTTTGGAAGATAAATATATATATATATCATGATATATACTGATCCACTTTTCTGTGGCATCTTTTCTGTGCACATGTTTATTGATGTAATCTTTGTAAAAACAATCTTCATTAGAGTTTACTATTCCATGCTGTATTTTTAGCTTTAATAATTGTTAGACTATTATCATGATATAACAGTTATACTAAGTTTTCATATAATAATTAGATCCACAGCAAGGACTTTCATAGGTTGTAATGGTGTAACATTTATGCAAAATTTCATATAGTTATAGAACAGCATGTAATATATATTAGGATCCAGGAAAAATGCAGATACCAAATATCAGTAGTTTCAGTTATAGATTTTTAGATTGATTCTACCCTAAGATAACGAGAACCCGTCTGCCAGACATACCACCGTATATGTCCGCAGATAAGCCGGATTTTGAGGACCAGAAAAAAGATTCTGTAGCAAGGGGTCGGCTTATTTAAGTTTATTTAATTCAATTGGATTAACATACAATAGTGGTATAAAGTGGGGTATAAAAGTTGGTATATTTTTACTGACTGACATTCTCATCATGAGTTTGAAACGAAAACGCCATGCTTATACAGTGATGCATTCAAACTGCAAGTCTTCGCTCTAGCTGTAATTTCTCACGGGTTCATAATTCTATATACACCGATTCACAAAATGGCGCTTCGTTGTTGATGGCAAGATATAACAATCATTATGAGATTAAAAAAGACGAGCATTATGAGAGTGGATGACTAGTTTGTTAAATCTTTACTAGAAATAATAATGACTTTTTCAATATAATTAAAACCTTTTTCATCTTATATTATTGAATATCTGCAAGTACCAGCACATGTCTTGCAGTCCAACTTTGCAGTGTTTTTTTTTTCCTATCACTTCCTGCTTCGGCTTATCTATGGGTCATATCATTTTCTTTCGTATTTCAATGGTCAAGTTAATACCTCAGCTTATCTATGGGGTCGGCTTATCTGTGGTCATATACGGTATTCAATAAGATAAAAGTCATGTCGACATAGTTTTATGGATTGCCTTAAACTATTTTTAAGTAAATATGTCATCACCACACTCAGGAATAGAATTATTCATTGAGCAAATACGTCAATTTAGACTCATTAAAAACGCCAACTCTCTCTCTTTCTCAGATGTTAGGCGGGAGGGGTTTGATGCTCAAACCAAGGAGACCTCTTACCCAGGGTTATACCGGCGCTCTGTAGCTATATTTAAGATATTGTTCATTGTTCTATTATTGTTCATTGTTCTATTATGGTAATCTGTTCGGATGAACAAAACCTTCCAAATGGCGCTCTGGTTTTCTTGGGGGAATTAGTCTGCAAAGAGCCGGAGTCACAGGAGACTAATCACAATTTTATTTACAAGAACAATTAATAATGAACAGTTTACAATATCTTAGAAAATAGCTGAGGGTGCCACAGAGAGTCGGTACAACCCTCTGGGCTGTGGGAGAGAGATCTGCTTGGTATGAGCGTCAAACCCCTTCTGCTTAACATTTTGCTTCTGCATGTATTTAACAAAAATTAGAACAATAAAAATGAATATGATTGGTTGATACACCATGAGGTGTGCCCTATGGTATATGAATGGCTAGACAGAGGGGAATACTTAATCCTGTTAATCCTGTTGGACTGGCACTAATCTTGATGACATATTTACTGGGTGCTTGGAAAGAGATTATTGTATCACTTTAGACGAGCTTGTATAGGGGCTAATCCTTAATGAATCTAAATAGAGGATTCATCACGAGTGTTTTTTAATATGGGAAATATCAACCGAGTCTTAGTTAATCGGTATTTGCCGAGCCTTTGGCGAGGCAAATACCGATTAACGGGACAAGGTTGATATTTCCCATATTAAAAAACACGAGTGATGAATTCTATTTATCATTTTCACATTTTTGCTTCCCAATTAAGGAATAATTGCATTAAACATTAACATCAGCAACTTGTCGAAATCTTACGTATAGATCGTGCGTAGTGATACATGTTTTCCATAGCCGTGTAAACCAAAATAAACAACCTCTTAACTCCTTTATGGCATATTCCTTCGCTGAGAAAAAAAGTTCCTCGGATTATTTTAAACAAAATACTTGAACAGACTTTTGCAGAATAATTGAAATAATGTCTCCAACATCAAAGGTATCCATGTTGTTTGTAAACACCTACTCACGTGCACCGGCGAATAAAGTCCCACTTCCGGTTATCTAATTTGCATATCTAATTTGCATACTTATGTCATTGGGGTATGACATACATGTTTTTATGTCATATGCTTATGTCATGGATAAATGCTTTAGTTAAATGATAAATTGAAGTATTTGATGAATGTTATTCTAAGATGGGTGATGACAGATTTACTTGAATAAAATAGTTCAAGGCAATCAAAAAAACTATGTAGACATAACTTTTGTCTTATTGATTAGTATGTCTGGGAGATGGGATCTTGTTACCTTAGGCTAGCAATGTAGCATCTATCTAAAAAGCTATAACTGAAACTACTGATATTTTGTATCTGCATTTTACCTTGAGTAATGTATTACTTGCTAACTAGAGTTATATGAAATTTTGTATAAATGTTACACAATGATAACTTATAAAAACCCTTGCTGTGGATCAAATTATTATATGAGAACATAGTGTGAACGTTAAATCATGATAACTCACTGCTCTTGTAAATAAAATTGTAATTAGTCTCCTGTGACTCTGGCTCTTTGCTGACTAATTCCCCCAAGAAAACGAGCACTCCATTTGGAAGGTTTTCAACATCAGAACAGACCCATAATACTTTCATCAAGTATTAGTGGAAACTAAATGATTTTTGTTTCACTGTGAAGAGAGGAATCAACTCAGTGGATATAGAACTTTCCTACGGACTACCTGTACTATTTATTAAGGAAGAGAATATATGGATGTCAACATTCTTTATAATGTGTTCCTCATAATAAAGAAGTTGACATTCATATATTCTCTTCCTTATGTGAATCACTTCTAACATGTCTAAATGCCTTTCAAAGACATGTCTGAGAGGGTATGTAAGACCACGTCTTTCAAAGTATATTTATTTCTTCCACGTTTTTAATAGTAGTATATGTGTTATTTTAATGTTTGGCTAAATTTGTCAGCCATCGCCAACAACTGAAGCGATGATGTAAATCCGACTGGGGTCCATGCAGGTAGCAAAAGTACTGTAAGTCCCCATGGTCCCCAGCACGGTGATCAACCTTCAGCTGGTGGCGATCTATAGCCTGTTTTTATAATGTGTTGTTAAATGATTAGTTAGTTATCTATTTTTACTTGTTCTCAAACTAGTTTTACGAATGCCTGTGATGTTCTAGTTATTATACTGCTCTTTGTCAGCAGAATTTTATAGAGTTTAATATCTATTGTTCATATCAAATTTTGTTTCGTAACGATATGGCTGAAATATTGCCGATGTGACGTTAAACTTTAACTCACTCACTCACTCAAAGACCTGTACTAGTTATTGCCATTGTATAAACAGTATCTGCACATGATCAATCTCACCTTTTCAGTTGTAAAAGTTATTATTAATTTTATGACTTAAATATACCATATTTTCATGGCTGTGTTATTGGTGGTTTTGATGGTACTAATTTGGAAATGAATGTTAGTTCGCAGTCTCTGGACGCTTGTTTTGTCCATGGCTACTAGGGCCAGGACGGGTTACTCGGGCCGGGTGGGTCCTGAGTAGGACCCGGGTACCCACATGACTACCCAGGCCCGTGGTTTGTCACGTGACATACTGTTTAATAACAATAACAATAAAACTCAATGGTTACACTACAAGAATTTTAGCTAATGTTCATATTTCTTTCTCACTATGCAGGTATTCGTTCTGACTTTTATATCCTCGAGTGGGGATAAAGCATCTATCAACCGCAGTGTATACATGATCATGTATCTAAATAGTTTTTGGCAGGGCTGCAGTAAGACAATTCGCTTTCGGACATTTTGTACCCAACTCTTGAGTCCTACAGCGGGTATCCCGGTAGGGCCGAATTCGATGATTATATAATTGGCTTTATCCTGCCGAGAAGCCTACCCATTATATGATAAATTTCCTGATCTCTACTTTTTTAAGAGTGTAGTAGCCCAAACAAAGTAAATATATGACCAGTTTTGTCAATTGTAAAGGGAATAATTCCAAAGCCATTATCAATGATTATGCAACAGTAACAATTATAAATATAAACCATATTTGACGTGATAAGTGCCCAGGGCGCTCTCAACATTAGAAATAGGGGGATCTTATTAGAATATAATTTTGTTGAGAGAAAAAACAGAGTGGAAAGATACGGTAACCAGGTAACAGACATCCTTGTTTTTATACCTTTTATGAGTCTTGCAAATGACCCTTTACCCACAACATTATGAGTCCTTGTGAAATAACACAACAGAACTTAATATATCACAGTTGTGAAATTTGGGTTGTTTACCATCAGTCCCAACTTTATCTGCTTCCGGTACTACGCAAAGTGATTATCAGCCCCAGGTCAAGATGTTTCTGACAACAATGGCATACATGTATGTTATCGTGATTATGCAACATGTCATCTGGGTCAGCAGAGTACTCATGTAGAAACATGACAAACACTTGTCAAGTACTATCATGCATGCAATCATCGACTTTTTAACAGTGTTATCATGCTTTGTTTCAGACAATGAGGGGTGGCATGATAGGGACATTTTCCTGATATAATTGGACATACAACAGCCATGGCAGGGAAAGATGGCCAGACTGCCATGTCTGCCCTGGGAGGGGAAGATTCAGGGAGAACCCATGGTGATGACGGCACCCAAGCTGCTGCCAACTCCACTGCAGCGTCTACGTATTTCAATGAAAGGATTCCCATCCCTGATGCTGGGAATGTGAGTACAGGGTTTGCCCTGGCCTGGAGGGTCATCATGATCCCTAGCAGGACAACAGAGAGTCATAGGTCTTTTGTAGGGGGTCTTTTTTATTCCTCACCATAAATGCCAGGTTTAGAGTGAGTGAGTTCAAATTTAACATTGCATCAACATTATTTTAGCCATATAGTGACGCCAGGTTTAGAAATTAACGCTACCCAGGGGCTAGTACAATTTTTTGTGGGCTAGTACATATTTCCAAATTTCCCCATTGTTTTAACATTATATGGGCATTTTATCTTTACCCTGGCTAGTAAAGCTTTCAGTTTAGTTCTATCCCTATGATGCGGGGGATATTGAGCTAAGTATCGTAATACATATTGGATCACGCAATTTGTGTATCGTCCCAGCCCTAGACTGTCTTCGTGGTCTAGTGGTAGGGCGTCCGCCAGGAGACACTCACATTATTGACAAACTCACTTCACTAAAGTAAGTCGCAATATTTACCATGCTCACATATTCTGTCTTAAGAATCAAACAAATCATATCTTTACAGCCTCGGTTTAGTTTCCGGAAGTTATGGGCGTTCACTGGGCCAGGTTTTCTGATGAGCATTGCATACCTGGATCCTGGGAACGTAGAGTCTGATCTGCAATCTGGTGCCGTCGCTCAGTTCAAGGTTAGTAATCAGTTAGCTGACAGGGTGTACCTAGTAGGTAAGTTGACAATGCATCAGACCTCGGATCATAAGGTCCATGGTTTGAATCCCATCATGGGAGTCAGATATTTTATGGCTGCTGTACAAATACACCTGCTATGTCACAGGGCTCCACGGTATTATACTGGAAGCATGTGGCCTACACTATCAGTAGCTTGGGTACCTGCTTGGATTGGGTAACTCAGTCACCACTGTATTCCACTGCCAAAACAAATTTTAAATTCTGTGGTAAATTTTTGTAAATTCTGCAACCAAATTTTGATAAGTCTGCTCACAATTTTGTAAACTTTTAAGTTTAGTTTTCATGAAATTCATAGTTTTGCATCTGTTTGACTTGTCATGCTTGTGGCAGGTGTTTTTATGACAAACCTATCCACGGGTCGAAAGCATATTGAAGTGGATCTGGAGATCACTGGTGTAAACTTGCAGACCTTCACTTTTGGTAAACAGTAACACAATAGTCAACTTAAACATTCGTTTACACATTTTAAACAAGCTTTTGAATCGAAAGTTAAAATTCTGCAGTGTATGTGACAAATTCTGCTACAAATATGCAAAATTCTGTGCAGGTTCTGCACAAAATGTGATTTTCTGCAAGATTGGATCATTTCTGCACCAAGTGGACATTTCTGGAACACATTTTCAGCGGAATCCCGGAATACATCAGGGACTGGTACATGGTACTCTGACACAAATAGTGGTATGACACTGGCATTGAGAACCAAAACATCAGGCATCAAGTCCACCACTTGTCACAAGCTGGACAAAGTAACTCAGGGCTAGATTTAAGGAACTTGATCTATTAGCTTATACCAGGTGCATGTTGACATGAAAACCTAGAAGCACAAGACAAAACCTGGTTGCACCCTTCTCCCTTAAATTGTTCAACGTTGAAACATGGATGTAAAAGATGGACTAGATAAGTACAATCTCAGATGTGATGAGTGTCATGATATTTATTACTGTTAGTCGTTACTGTTATAGTACTTCTGTCACAATCATTCGTTGGATAATCTAACCAACATAACGTGACACAGTGTTCAACTTCAGTGATAGATGAAGCTGCAGTCCAGGGCCCACTTGCACAAAGCGATCTTAGCACTAAGATGATTGTAACTCCCATACTTTGACATAGGCTTACAACAGTCATAGCGCTATGATCGTTTTGTGCGAGTGGGCCCAGTATTTGATCACAACTCAATGTCATCACTGCTCCAAGATGACCGTGTCTCAATATGCTAATGTTGAATTCTGGTCATAACCAAAGCTAACATGTTTGAGATTGTGACATGCACTTGGTGCAGTTAGATGTAACCATTAAGTTGCATTTTTCAATAATAGATATATAGTCCTGCACCATGACTGTGGAATATATTTATTTTATGAAAAAACAAAACAATCTAGATATATATACAAGAGCATGTCTAGCCAGCTCTAGCTAGCTCTATCAGCATCAGGACCAATCTCATTAAAATCAGATCTTAGTTCTCGCTACCAACTTTGTTTAGCGGTAGCAAGAACTAAGATCTGATTTTAATGAGATTGCATCAGGACTTATATTTGTATTAATTTTAGAGGAGAGAAGAGTGTTGTGTAATGTAAGGTGTCATAGACTATATGTTAGTCTAGTGCATATTTTATATTGCTCAATTGAGCCCTGGTAAACTTTATTTCGGTCTGGGCGGACATATGAGGGCTTTTACAAGTTGTAGAGTCCACTATGTTTGACTCTGTTCCATCAATTATTCAACAAGAAAGTGAATGAAAACACATAGGTTCACCATGTGACACATGAGAGGGGGTGTGCAACACTGCCCACAATTATCCACCTCATGATTGCCCTGTGCCCATTTTTCAGGACCAAATGTATCAAATCCAGAGCTTGAAATAAATACCTGACTCCCAAACTCACTCAGTCTCCTGTCCTGTGTTTGTTTCAGCTGCTATGTGTTCTACTGGTCTCTTCTTTGTTGTGGCTGATGCTGCAGTGACTAGCCGCACAAACATATCAGTCATCTGTTCTGTGTTTGTTTCAGTTGCTATGGGTTCTACTAGCCTCTTCTTTGTTGAGACTGATGCTGCAGCGACAAGCCGCACAAACGTATCAGTCATCTGTTCTGTTTGTTTCAGCTGCTATGGGTTCTACTGGCCTCTACTTTGTTGGGGCTGATGCTGCAGTGACTAGCCGCACAACCTTATCAGTCACCTGTCCTGTGGTTGTTTCAGCTGCTATGGGTTCTACTGGTCTCTTTGATGGGGCTGATGCTGCAGTGACTAGCCGCACAAACATATCAGTCATCTGTTCTGTTTGTTTCAGTTGCTATGGGTTCTACTGGCCTCTTCTTTGTTGGGACTGATGCTGCAGTGACCAGCCGAACAAACATATCAGTCATCTGTTCTGTTTGTTTCAGCTGCTATGGGTTCTACTGGCCTCTTCTTTGTTGGGACTGATGCTGCAGTGACTAGCCGAACAAACATATCAGTCACCTGTCCTGTGTTTGTTTCAGCTGCTATGTGTTCTACTGGTCTCTTCTTTGTTGGGGCTGATGCTGCAGTGACTAGCCGCACAACCTTATCAGTCACCTGTCCTGTGTTTGTTTCAGCTGCTATGGGTTCTACTAGCCTCTACTTTGTTGGGGCTGATGCTGCAGTGACTAGCCGCACAAACATATCAGTCATCTGTTCTGTGTTTGTTTCAGCTGCTATGGGTTCTACTAGCCTCTTCTTTGTTGGGGCTGATGCTGCAGTGACAAGCCGCACAAACGTATCAGTCACCTGTCCTGTGTTTGTTTCAGCTGCTATGGGTTCTACTGGCCTCTACTTTGTTGGGGCTGATGCTGCAGCGACTAGCAGCACGCCTCGGGGTGGTCACAGGGATGCATCTAGCCGAGGTCTGTTACCGGCAGTACCCTAAAGCATCCCGCCTCATCTTGTGGATCATGGTAGAGATCGCCATCATTGGCTCTGACATGCAAGAGGTCATCGGAACATCCATTGCATTATATATTTTGTCAAGTGGAAAGTAAGTAAAACTGACAACTGTAAATGTCTCATTACAAAGTGATACAGCCATTGTGTAGCCCATATGATGGCAAAATATGTGCCTTGGGCACTTGGCATAACTTTGAATGTAATTTACCAGGACTTCAAAAGTTGTTGTTTGTTTAATGCCGCACTCAGCAATTTTCCAGCTATATGATGGCAGTCTGTAAATAATAAGTGTGGACCAGGCAATCCAGTGATTGACATCATTAGCATCAATCCACGTAATTGGGATATGATGACATGCATCAACCATGTCAGTGATCATGACCGCCAGATCCTGTTAGTTGTCTCTTACGACAAGAAAAGCCGTGTTTTAGGGCAAGCAGAGGTTGCTGAAAACCTACTCTAACCCAGATGATGGACAGTTTTTGACATTGAACTTGAAAGTCAAGGGTTCTTGTCATAACCCTAATGTTGGAAGTTGAACGATTTAGTGGGTCCCTATATTGATATAGGTACTATAGGAGTATGCCATACAAGGCGACCAAGCCTGTCGTAAGAGGCATCTAACGGGATCGGGTGGTCAGGCTCGCTGACTTGGTTTATGCATGTTATCGTATCCCAATGGTGTGGATCTATGCTCTTGATGTCAATCACTGTCTTGTGCAGAGACATTTATTTACAGACTGCTGTCATATAGCTCATATATTGCTCAGTGCGACATTAAACAACAACAAATAAACAAACAACACTGTAGCAGTAATCCTTTAGGACTCATAGAGCGGCAGCCCAGAGCACTTTGGTCAAACGAACAAGGTACCAATATCCGAACACAGGAACATTTACTGTGTAACCCAACATATTCATATATAGATGTCTGCCGGGGAGCCCCTGCTGCGTGTGGCCCCTGGCCCCCCAAAAGAAGGGGCCATTCAAGGGCTGGATCAAACATTGGAGGTACCACATCAAGTAAGTGTAAATGAACTGGTACATCTCACAGAGTACAGAATGGGCCACGCCAGACAAATCTTCCTCTGCAAAAGGCCTGCCAGACACCCCCAAAGAGGGTCCCAAAATTTGGGCTGGGTTAAACATTGGAGGTACCACATGAAACCAACATAAAATGAACAATTGCACTCTACTTATTGCACAATACCCATTGCCAGACAAATCATCTTCTGCATAAGGCCCGCCAGACACCCACAAAAAGTTGACCCTTCAGGTATACACGGGTAAAATTGGTCTGGAATATATATCGATTGTACCACATTAAGGTACGTTTGAATGAACAGGTTCATATCACAGCGTACAGAATGGGCCACACCAGATAAATCTTCCTCTGCATAAGGCTTAAACATTGGAGGTATCACATGGAACCAACATAAAATGAACTATTACACTCTACTTATTACAAAATACCCATTGCCAAACAAATCCTCTTCTGCATAAGGCCCGCTAGACAGACCCTCACCCCACCCCACACAGTTGACCCTCTGTAATCCGAGTGTGCATAATGAAACATTGGACATCAGCTCTGAGAGTCAACAGATGGTCAAATTTATGTTTTGTTCTTAAAGATGGAAGGATTTTATTGAGATTAAAATCACGTATTTATAAAATCAGGTCTCTGAATACTAGTATTGATATCATAGATTAGGCCTATCGTTGAAATGTAATAAAAAAAAAGGCATGAATCTGATTCTTGTGAATATATATCTGATCAGCTATGAAGTCCTCAAAGCCTGCTATAGCCTGATAGCTTGGCTATGGATTCCTACAAACCCAAACATGCTTAGGTAGTCCTCAAAGCCTGCTATAAGAATGGTAAATGACAGTCCCTAATACCATTTGGAAATCTTTTGGTGATAATTGTGTTTAAAAACCTATGATCTCCGTTTATTTAGCAAGTTTTATCATCTAAAAAGCTGAATTCCGGCCAAATATTTCCATATTTATGGTCGGTCCCGAAAAGTTTATCGTATCGAGAAACCTAACAAAATCGTGGCACAGACCTGTGTGAAAATATCAAGTTTGTCAGGTCACGGAAAGAGATGAACAGGGTTTGGTGACACGAAAAGATGAATGTTCTATTCTTGATGTATTTTCGTCCTGATCTTCACAACTTTTCTCGGAGTGTCACGGTTGGATACAAAAATATTTTTCTGTTCAAAAGAGAAGGGCCGTTACTGATATTCACCTCGTCAAAACTATCGCACCACCAAATGTGAAATGTAATTACCCATCATGTTTTATGATTTTGTTCTTGTTGTTAAATGTAAATGTATGTTCATAATGTGACATCGTTTTGATTTCAATACTCAAATATCTGTTATGAAACCTCCACTATATATCTAAATTTTCACAAGGCCTTACGTCTCAGATTTGCCATCTATCTGTTTGAATAAACGTCTTACACTAGACAGAGAGTCATGATATTGGCGCGTGAGCTGTGCCACGGTTAAATGTGTTTAGACTTCTATCCCAGGATGACCCAGTGTACATATGTGTGTATATATATATATATATATATCTGTTTTTGAATACCCTCAATAAAGAAGGGAAAGCCATACACAATAAATTTAACTTCTTTTTTTCTGAGGTGTGTGACGAGCACGTCACTTCTCTCGAGAAATCGACATCAAGCTTCCTGGGAAAAATTTTCTTACCTCCCGGTAAAATGCCAAGAAAGGTTGCATTAACCTGATCCATTCAGGGTGTTTTCCACAACACAAAATTCTAAACAAGCAATTGTTGATCTGTCACGATTGACTGAATTTTGTATAAATTCCCATATCATTGTTACCATAGAGCTTTGTTTTCAAGCAAATGTGAATTCTTTTGTTAAAAGAAAAGCCGTTTGCAAACCACACCTAGCCTTTTCTTTTCTGCCAACCTCTGAATGCAAATATGAAATCTTAATAATAGTGCTACAGACGTTATAATCACAATATAACTTGAAGCATTTATCAAATCATAAAACACTTTGAACTGAATAAACATGATCATACATGAAGGTCGTGAGAAACCTTCCTTTGACACACCCTGGTTTGTATTGGCATTGTAATAGGGGGTGTAAGTAGGTCACGGGACTACGCGAGACCTAACTTTATTTAGTACGTCCGGTGACAAACAACGTCTCGCGGCAATGGCGACAGCAGTGTCACTTCGGGCAGGGCCCGGCGAATCATATTTGGAAAACGCAGGTGTAACTTAGAAAAACATGACACTGTCACAGTCATTAAAACACTCGAGATGGGGAACATGAATAGCAAGTGTTGGCTTGTCAAAGCAGTTGCAGTGTTGTCAAGACGTCCTATGGTCGATGTCAAACTGGCCGCTACCCATTCATAAATATTGAGGTAAGTTTTCACTTTTTGGACACTTTTGATAATTTGGTATAATTGTCAGTGTTGATAAGTCAATAATGATCGGTTCATCATCACACGTACAATGGTGATGGCGTTGAAAAATGAGCATAAAACATTCTTTCTGAAGGTATTTGCAATATGCTCTCGGTTTGTGCACCATACAATGTCATGGCAAATTTCCATTACATCTATCCTGAGCCTTTTCCAATAATAAATGATCGGCTCTGATAGGGAACGTCACAGAATTATATTTGTAGGTCCAGGGGAGATGACACAAACTATAGTCATATTTAAAGAAGGCCTATCGAGTGCATGTTGGCAACGCAAATTTTGTCAATACTTAATGTTGTGCAAGGAGACTTATGGGGGTGCCTGTGTTAATAAATAAGGATATGTGCCATTATCACGATGATAATTTTATGTGCACTGAAAAATCAGGTTTTATTCACACACAAAAATATTAATCTAATTTGTAAATAATGATGATTAAATCCTTGCGGTGTTTGTTATAAAGATCTCTGAAAAGTGACCTCACTTAAATGTATTCTGTATGATGTGAATAGACTTGACCATTACAACCCCATTTAGCATTTGTTAAGCATATTCAGTTGAAGGTACAATGTACATGCTTAATTTATTAATTATATCTTGATGTAGGCATTTTAAGAAATGGTTGGTATTTTAGAAGTATATATTATATGATCTCATAAGTGTTATTTATCTTTTGCAGTTGGACCATATTTCCATGTTTGAGGGGAGAAAGATTTCCTCATCTTACTCACGGGTAGATGCATATGGATCACCAGAATTACCTTGATGCCAAGCATAACTGCACCTCAAGAGCATCTCAGATTATAACATATCCTTAGATTTCTTGGAATATTTTGTGGTCAAGCATTACATTGCCTATGAAAGAACAACTCTTGTTGTGTATACAGGTATAAACATATTAAAGTTCTATCTGAACATTTTGCTGAAGTATTGGCTCTGTAAATGATGTCTGTGACCATCAGATTACACCATATATACACTGGACACTTGCTGGAACAGGACCTACTTGTCATCAACATGGTGTTGCAGAACATCTTGGGACTCTCTCATAAAGTCCAGTGTGAATCTAGATACTGACACCAGTAACAGTGCATGCTGGCACATTTATTTGTTCAGGCTTGGCATTTGGGAATATTTGCCATGAATGTTTAATACTCATGACCTTGGAATAAAATTACTGAATAGATCTGAAGCTTATTTATTGTTTTTTGTCTGGGATATTGCCATACAAAAAAAGTTTTTTAATATTTCTGGTATCAGCCATGATACTGAATTGATACTGAATATAATATCATAACAATGCACATGGAATGTGTGAAAATAGATTTCCAGTTTATGGGTCAAAATTTTCCAAGAAAATACAACAGATGCTTACCAATGAAAATTTAACTTAACCAATGGCATAGCAGTTGTTGCTTTGTGAAATGAATTCTTTGTTGAAATATCAACATGTCTTGTTTTTGCATCGCTGTTTTAGGGTCCAGCATACAAATTACACTGATTCATAGAACAATAGCCAATAAACATTAACATTTCTTGACCAGTAATCTTAAAACAGATTGGTCCAAATGGATAGCGGAAAATGTGAAATGACAGTTACCTCATTTGTTTGACTTGGATTTATTGGCAGAATATTTAAAATACACAAATATATGAAAAATAGGTGCAATTGTTTCTATCTCTGCATCAAGTCAGTATGGTTGCACTACATTGTGTTCATCAGTGTTGACTGAGTGATAAGTTGAATCTATTAATGTTTTGGACTTGTGGCAATTTTTTTACTTGGTTCAATTGAGCCTCACAACCAGAAATATTAATTTAAAAACCCCTACTGTTTATCACAATTAATCTTTTAATCTTGCCCCTGCTCTCAATCAGTCTGCAGTGTTATAACAATTATATTGCTGACGAGGTGTAACACTTTTATTTCTTCCCTCAGAAAAACATTACACTTCATTTATTAGTAAGTATCTTTCTTAATGTAGGACATGTCATTGGTGATCGCCTCCATAATTCAGTGTATTTGTCTTGCATTTTGGCCACTTCTGACTTGAAGTTGCTGCGTGCTGGATGATGATTCATCTTTTGGTTGCTGTACAGCAGAAATTCATTCCTGTATGACCAAGAAAAAAACCATTCATGTTCTGCAACAACATAGAACTAGACATAAAGTACATACACAGTGTAAATTACATTAAGTAATACGTTACCACTGTCATACCGAGGCTGTTGTCTCCCACAACTGCTGCTATAGCGAAATCTACCACAGAGATCTCAATTACCTCATGCAGCACGTGCGTAGCCACCTAGCTGCCATGTGACACCCTTCACTCTTGTCTCCTTCGTCTGTTTAGCAAGACGTGTTTTCTCCTGCTGAAGCGTTCCTTGAAGATTTGGTGATATTTATTATAGTTTATTCTCTAATAAACTGTGCTTTTATGGGGCGTTGCGGTAGCTATGCTTGGTTATAATTTTCCCGCCCTTTTTTCTATATACTTGCGGGGTTCGCGTATGCACGTTGTGTTTTACGTTTCCCCTGTTCTTGTATGTTTTGGGGGTTAACATAACTTATTTCTTTAATAAAAGTTATATGTGTATGTTATATGTTCACATTGCTCGTTTATTTTCTTGTGAAAATGCTTGTTTGTGAATCATTGTGGTGCGTGCGTTCTAACCATGTTTTGTTCTTTGTTTATAGCAAACAATCAATGTCTGACATGGATATGTCCCCAGTATCCACCCCCTCTACCCCTGCTCCTCGGAGTTGTGGGGTGTGCAGAAAGTTTTTGTCGTCCCGGGATCCCCACGATCGTTGCCCGCGGTGCAGGGTTCCTTGCGGGGACACCCGGTGCACCCTGTGCGAAGGTCTGGGGCCTGCGGAGTTTGAGCGGTACCGGCTGTACGTACAGTCCGTCTCCACCCCTGTGGTGGCCGGTTCGTCCGGTCGGGGTCCCCGTGCGGGTACCACCTCCTCGGCTGCGGCGGATCCCCTTGCGGCCCTCGGGCTGTCTGGGGATTCCGTCGCCGCATTGTTGTCGAAACTTGTGGACTCCAAGCTGGCGGCCTTATCGCAAGATAGGCCGCTGGCTGTTCCGTCCCCGGCCTCTTCGGTGGCCGCGGGTTCGGACGCGGGGTCCACCGGTACGGCGGCGGCTGCCGTGGTTACCGGTCCTTCCCCCGAACCGTTGCTTCAGCTATCGGTTAAGGACCGCGTTGCCATGGTGTATGACCTCTTCGAGGACATGCCAAAGCCCCTGTCGATACCGCGGGGAATCCACGGTTCCGTGGGTTCCTCCGAGGTATACGACGAGACGTCCGACAAGGCTTTCCCGGCATCAACCTTGCTGCGCGGGATTAAGCCTTCTTTGGAGAAGGCCTTCACGGCTGCCTCCGGTCGGGGTCTCCCGTTACCTCCCCCGTCGTGGAGAAAAGGGTCTTTCCCAGTACATGACCTTGCCTTTCCCGAGGCTGGTCCTTCTGCGGAAGCCCATGTGGAGCGTTTGGGGGTCCGTGCCCCACCGGTTGCCACGGTACCACAAGGTACCTTGCAACAGCTGGACACCCTCGCTCGACACTCCATGCTGGCAATGTCTCACGGAGACACATACCTGGCTGCAGCGGCCAGTCTGGTCGAATGTTCTCCCACGGACCGAGACCAGGGCATTTACAACTGCTTGCTCGGTTTGAATGCTTCCCTGGAGTACGTTGCCGGGGCTTCGGCCTTTGTTTCCGGCATGTGCCATTTTCTTCGGCGCCAGTCGTATCTGGTTGCTTCAGGGTTGGACGCTGCTAATCAGGAGGTGCTCCTTTCGCAGCCTTGGTCTGCTCGGACCCTGTTTAATAACAAGATCCCTGGGGTTCTGAAGGAACAACAGGCCGCTGTGTCTGCCGAGGCCTCTCGGCACACACTGGATCTTGTGGGGTCCTTGCATAGGCGCCTGGGTGCGGCTCCGAAGCGGAGCGCGCCCCAGGATGCTGCGTCCGGCAGGCCTAAGGGGTCGGGTCCTTCTTCCTCCGGGAAGAAGCCCCGCTCTGAGGGCTCCGGTAAGGGTTCTCAGCAGCCCTTTCGCGGGAAGAAGGGGAACTGGGGGAAGCCCAAGTCGTCTAAGGACGGCAAGGGCCCCTCCAGGTGACTCTCATTGGAGGGGTTCGTATGCCGACTTGCTAACTTCGGTTGGCCCGTAGGCGAACCCGAGTCACTTGGCCCTGGACAGTTGCGCCTGCCGCAGCCCGTCCGGCCCCCCTCTCTTTCCCCAGTGGGAGCCAGACTCCAGACTTACTGGGAGAATTGGGAACAAGTGTTCGACGACCCGTGGGTGGTCAACACGATTCGGTACGGCTATCGGCTCGATCTCAAAGCGAATCCGCCGCTCACCGTTGCCCCGTCGGCAGGTTTCTATTCGGAAACCGATCTTCCCTTCCTCGCCGATGCCATCGGCAGGTTGGTGGAGAAGAGGGCAGTTCGGGAGTTAGCTCTACCAGAAATAACACCGGGGTTTTACTCCAGGATATTTCTCGTTCCCAAGAAGGACAGTGCCGAACTCAGAATGATTCACAACTTGAAATCGTTCAACGAGTTCTACCTGCGCAAACCGCCCAAGTTCAGAATGTTGAGCTTGACAGACCTGAAAGCACTGATCAAGCCGGCCGACTGGCTAGCTTCGATCGACCTGAAGGATGCTTATCTGCATGTTCCGATTCACTCGGATCATCACAAGTATCTCAGGTTTGTCTTTCAAGGCAGGCACTATGAGTGGGTTGTACTCCCATTCGGTCTTTCATCCGCTCCCTGGCTGTTCACCCGGTTAACCACCCCCATAGTGGGGTTCCTCCACCGGAGGGGTGTCCGGTACTTCGCGTACCTGGACGACTCGCTAGTAGCAAATCGAATGACAGACACCCTGTCACGCCATCTCGTTTTCGCACGTCGGCTCTTGGAGCAATTGGGGTGGATTGTCAATCTCCCCAAGAGCGAGTTAACCCCTTCTCAGAACTTGCAGTTCATCGGAGGTCGGTTCAACACAGTGTCCCATCGCCTCTTTGTCCCCCCAGACCGGTGGCACAAAATTCAGGCGATGATTGCCTAAGTCTTAGCGGTGCAACAGACTGTTCACTTTTGGGAACAGCTGTTAGGGCTACTTGTATCAGCCCAGGACTGCACCGAACGGGGTCGTCTCCAACTCCGCCCGCTGCAACGGTTTTTAATCCAGTTGTTAGCAACGGAGGTGAACAGTGCGACCGTCGCCCTCCCGGATCGGCTCCGACCGCATCTGGAGTGGTGGACGCTCCCTTACAATGTCTTATCAGGAGTCTCTATGCGGCCCTACCGGGCCACGTTGAACCTGTATACAGACGCCTCTCTAGTGGGCTGGGGCGCCCATCTAGAGGGGGAGGTGAGCTCGGGGCTGTGGTGCGTAGACGAACTAGGTCTTCACATCAATTGTCTCGAGTTCAAGGCAGTGATCAACGCAGTCAATCACTGGAAGCATCGTCTCGTCGACGCCCGGCTCATGCTGGGGACCGACAACACGACGGTAGTGTCCTATGTGAACAAACTGGGGGGAACCCACAGTCAATCGCTACTCGATCTCACGTTTGAGTTTTACGCTCTGGTGGACAGTGTCCCGTGCCAGATACGCGCCCGTCAAAGCCCAGGTGTGCGGAACGTACTGGCCGATGCTCTATCGAGGCCTCAGGATCCGAGCCCCACAGAGTGGATGCTGAACCCAGTAGTGTTTCAGTGGCTGTGCGAACGTTTGGGTCGTCCAATGGTCGACCTGTTCGCAACACGGTTCAACAATCAACTCCCGTTGTTTGTATCACCAGTCCCGGACCCGAGGGCCATCGATCACGATGCTCTCGCGTTAGACTGGACGGGCTTGGACGCTTATGCTTACCCGCCGACAGCGTTGATACCACACATTCTAAGCCGGCTTCGAGGAGTTCGCTGTCGAATGTTACTGATCGCGCCCATGTGGCCGAACAGATCGTGGTACCCCGACTTGCTGACCCAGGTCACGCAGTCGCCACTCCCACTGCCTGTGAGACCGGATCTCTTGATCCACCCTCACACCCGTCAGCTTCATCCAAACGCAGGGCAGTTCAATCTGCACGCGTGGATGTTGTCACCGAGCGTCTGAGGAGTAAAGGTTTTTCTCGCCGGGCGTCTCGGGCATACGTTAGTAT